AGAAGAAGAAGAAGAAGAAGAGGAGGAGGAGGAGGAGGAGGAGAAGGGGAGGAGGAGGAGGAGGGGAGAAGGGGAGGAGGAGGAGAAGAAGAAGAAGGAGAAGGAGAAGGAGAAGGAGAAGGAGAAGGAGAAGAAGAAGAAGAAGAAGAAGAAGAAGAAGAAGAAGAAGAAGAAGAAGAAGAAGAAGAAGAAGAAGAAGAAGAAGGAAGAAGAAGAAGGAAGAAGAAAAAGAGGAGGAGGAGGAGGAGGAGGAGGAGGAGGAGAAGGAAGGGAACCTGCACGTCTGTATTGGTGCAAATAATACTGAATGAGTAAAGAGGAAAACGGAGAAGAGGCCAGTTTCCTGCACAGCAGAATCTCACACAAATGCCGTCTATATCCTAAGACTCCAAGTCCTCCTGTATTGTCAGTGTGTGGCGATCTCATTTTGCATAGGCTTTTCACACCAGTGTGCAGAGGCTCTTGATGGTTTTGAAGAATTCTTTAAATGATCTCTGACTGAAGTGGCTGAATGTGAAGATGGTGGTATTGGCCTTTGTCTTCTTCCCCAGGGCACTGTGACACTGCTAGGATCCTTTCCCAAGAATAGGGCTACTTCTCTAACCAGACAGTAAGAAAAACTCGTTCTCTACAAGGGTGATGCTTCCTTCACAGGGACTTCTTGTCTCCAATTTGCTTATGCTCCTCATAAAGATGCAGCTGTCCTCACTGCCACCTGCATCTCCTCAGGAGCCCTCTGGGGCTGAAGGACCAGTATGTAGTGAGAGACAGAAAGACCAGGAATCTGTATTTTTCTTAACTGAAAAATACCTCAGGTGATTCTCACAGCTGTTGCTAAAGCTTAGAGTGACGCTAAAGAAGCTGCCATTTTGGCAGAAAGTGTTTAAGACTCTTTATTCCCAGATATGGCTAGGAGTTTCTGTCATCTCTGGACCCGGTAGGCTGAGAAAAGGGGACTGTAAGTTCAAGGCCAGTCCAAGCTATACGCCAAACCCTTGCCAAAGGAGACGGATAGAGGGAAAGAAGGAGTGGGGAGGGAGGGAGGGAGGAAGGGAGGGAGGGTGGAGGGAGAGAGGGAGATACCGTAACATGGAAATTGTTTCATCATTCTACAACCCCTTGGACTCTTCTCAGAAGACAATAGCATAGAAAAAGGGCAGGAGATTAGAGCCAGCCTACAGGGCACTAAGGTCTGGGGAGCAGCTGAGTGACGGCACACACTTAACACAAGCTTGGCCTTGAGCTCCAGGTCAGCACCCTCCTAAAAAAATACATAAAAATTAATCAAATCAAATGGACCTTGTTGGTATTTTTTTTTTCGTTCAAAACAATCAAACACAAGACTATATTTTAAGACTTAAGGAAAAGTAAATCTTGATTACATACTGATGGGCATTAAGGAATTTGTGCTAATTTTGTTATATTGATTTACGCAAAAAGATACTCCTTCCTATTTTAGATGCATTTAAGTGGAGAGGAGATAGGAATTACTTGCTATCTGGTATTTGCTTTAAAATTTTAGCTGGGCCAGCAAGATGGCTCTGTGAGTAAAGACACTTGCCCCCCAAGCCTGGCGACCTGAGTTTGGTCCCCATGACCAAATGGTGAAAGGAGAGAGTCGACTTTCTCAAGTCGTCCTCCAGCTTCCATGTGCTACCATCGTCCTTCCCATGCCCTGCACTTATTAAATACATAGATAAATAAATGTAAATTTAAAATATATATTCTACAGAAAAAAAATTAAAAAACCAAAGCGGTGAAAAGTATGCATAAGATGGAGCATGCGTAGTAAGGGGAACAATTCTGGGAGGGTGTGGCGGGCACAGGAGGCTTTGCTGGACTCTCAAGCTTTTAATAGGTTTGAAATATTTTAGAGAAAATTGCTAAACATGTCTAAGGGAATAGAAATATATGAGCCTACAGAATGAGATGCCAAGTCTAGGAAAATGGTCTGGAGGATCCTTAGAAAGTTAAAGACAATCCTAATTCATGAAATTCCACTTCTAGCTACATATCAGGATCTACAAACAGGTACTCTGACACACATATGCTCATGAAAAATAACACTCTTCGCAGTAGCCAAAAGGTGGGAGCAGCTCAAATGCTTATCAATACACTAATGGATAAACAAAATGCGTGCATATATGTGTGTGTGTGTGTGTACGTGTGTGTGTGTCTGTCTGTATATATATATATATATACATATATATGATAAAACTTTAAAAGAGTACACCAAGTGAAATTAGCCAAATATAAGAAATAAATCGTATCATTTCAATTTTCTGAGATATTTAGAATGAACAAATTCATGGGGCCAAAATAATTAAAATTGAGGTTCTGAAAAGTTAGACTAGAGACCGGGTCCTTGGGATGAGGTGAATAATAACGGTTGCTGAATGGGTACCGTGCTGTCTGGACCCTAATGGTAGCTGCACAGCGTTGAGGATGCACCGAGTTGACATCATTGGAGTGTGTAAGTTTGCTGTGTGAATTTAACCATATTCAAAGATGAAAGCTGACAGCCAAGGTATAGAAGGAAGGACTGGGTTAAAATATGGTGTTGGGGTACCTCACACCAACACCCCTGCATCCATGGTGAG